GTTCTTTTCCTTCTATCAGTTCCTGCCCTCATCCCACCTTTCCATGTGCATTCTGTAGTCTTTTAGCTGCATCACTAGACTCTAGTGCTGACAGAATTCAAGACCTCTACTTCATCTCAGGAAATTTGAAAACTGCAAACCACAGCATGACAAATTCTTCTGCTATCCTCAGAAATACTTCAGTAACGTCCCTGATCATGTAAAAAAAATTTAAACTTTTTCATATGGCATTCCAGATACTTGTCTCGGCTCAGAGTTACCTATGTAGATTTTATATTTTGATATTTATAAACGATCACCTCCCACTGCGTCCCTCCCACAACACATGGAAATTTAAGATGAGATTAGTGTGGGAACACTGCCAAACCAGATGATTCCACAACTGGCCCCTCCCAAATATCATGTCCTCACATTTCAAAACCAGCCATGCCTTTCCAAAGGTCCCCCAAAGTCTTAACTCATTCTAGAATTAACGCAAAAGTACACACTCTATTATCTCAACCAAGACAAGGCAAGTCCCTTCTGCCTATGAACTTGTAAAAAACATAAATTCCTTCACAATCTACTTGAATTAATCTAAGAGTGTTTGCAGGGATAGTATTTCAAGCAAGTTTCAGAGGATTTTTTCTTCCTCTGACTCCAAAAGAACTCTCTTCTCAGCTTTCTTTATCACTAGTTCTCTCTGTTAAACTTCTAGCTCATTTATAATTTAGCTTGCTCTCGGGAACTTCCAGCCTTTAAAAAACTTCTTAGCACTACCGTCTCCATAGTTTTTGGCAAATGAATCTGTTACCTTGAGAGATCTATAAGTACAGCATCATTACTGTAGGACATTTATTACAAAATTTATGTCCTCACAGAAACTGGAACACAAATATTTATAAATCCTTAATACCTAATAGCCAAAAACTAGAAATGACCCAAATGCTTTTCAATGAATAATCAGTTACACAAAGCATGGCAAATCCCTACCACAAAATACTACACTTTAATTAAAAAAAAGAACAAAATATTGTTAGAAATAACAGCACCGAAGACCCTCAAGACTATTATGCCAAGTGAAATAAAACCAGTTTCAAGAGCTTACATATTATGTATTTATATATAATTCCTAAAACATTAAAAATTATGGGCATGGAGAATAAATTAGTGGTTGCATGAGTTAGGGTTAATGAGGTAAATAGGTGGGTGTGTCTCTAAAAGGTGAACATCAAAAAGCTTGTGCTGATGGTATAGTTCTGTATATTGATATGATTTTAGCTACATGAAACAACGTGTGATCGAGTTACACAGAATTACACACGCAGATGCACATACCCATATGTATGAAAGCATGTATAACTGGTGAAATCTGAACAGTCTCTGTAGAAAGTATCATTGTTAGTTTCTTGATTTTAATATTATAGTATATTTAGGCAAGATGTTAACATGAGGAGGTTGGATAAGAGTACTCGAGACCTCCCTGTATATTGCTGTGAAAGTTTTTATAAATAAAACACTATTTCAAAATAAAAGGTTTAAAAGTTAGACCATAAACATCAATATAGAAGGGAAAACTATGCAACTTTTGGAAAAATTTAAACAGAAAATTTTGAAGATATAGGACTAGACCCAGAGTTCTTTCATGTGAGAACAAATCATGATCGATACAAAAAATTGAACTTATTAAAGATACTTTTAATTACCCTGTTAAGATATTTTTAAAATATTTTGCTAGAGAGATGAAAAAGAAGCTGCAGACTAACAGAATATGTTTGCAGACCATCCAGCTGACCAATATTTTCTGTCTAGAATATACAAATAAAATGAAGATCAACAGTAAAAAACAAAAAAAAATGTCCAGATAGAAAACAGAACTAGGTACTGTATCAAACAGTAGCAGCCCTTATTATAAAATTCAATAATTTCACTTTTGAGTATTTCTCCTAGAGTCATAAAATTTGTTATTCATGCAAAAACTTTTAAATGTTCCTAGCATTGTTATTTGTCATAGCTCAAAACTAGAGACTACCCAGACGCCCTCTGTTGGAGGAATGATTAAACAAACTTTGGAGCATTCATAACACAGATACTACTCAGAAATAACAAAGAATGAATTATTTATATTAAAATGACTTTGATGGATCTTAAGGGAATTATGTGCAATTAAAAAAAACTCAACAGCTACTGTATGCTCCCGTCTATATAAAGTACTTGAAATAAAATGATAGATGGTGACTAGATCAGTATCTGCCAGGGATTTGAAATTAATTACCCCATATTACCATATGGGGTAATATGAAGATTACTTGTAGTGATGGAACAGTTTTGTGTGCTGATTTTGGTGTTGAGATTACAAATCTATTCATATAATAAAATTGCATACATGTCTACATGCAAAGGAACACAAATTAGTACATATAAAAAAGTATGAAATTCAAATTAGCTCTGTAAGTTTACTAATATTAATTTCCTGGTTTTGATATACAAGATTTTACTATTAAAGGAAACCTTGGGAAGGGTACATGATATGACCCTGTAAAAATTTTGTTTGAAATGTCCTCTACATTTAAAACTGTTTCATAAAAATTAGACAAACTGAACCTTTCACCTGTCCCATCCAAACAACTCTTCAGTACTTTCTCTAGAAAAGAGGACAAAGGGAAGAAAAGCAATAGTAAATAACATACTAAATTGAAACTGAACCATATCAAGAATCATTACAAACTTTAGATTTCTAAATACTCCACTGAAAATATGAAAATGTCAGATTGAATAAAAATAAAGAGGAAAATACATTGTCAACAAGAAATCCACTTTAATGCTAAAGAAACAAATGAATTAACATGAAAAAAAGATACCAGGTTAGCACCAACTAAAAGGAAGGTGGAGTGGAGTGGCTGCATTCGTATGAGGCAAAGTAGATTTCTGAATAAATATTTTATACAAAAATAATAATTTAATAATAAGTTTATTAATAATAAAAATAGCAAGTCATCCAGAGGACATATAATTCCTTTTGTTCTAACATCTTTTGCTTTACGTATTTGAAGCTCTCATTAGATGACTAAGAGAAAGAGCTACAAATATAATCAGAGGTTTCAACATGTCTGAGTGATGATAAAATAAGCGGACTAAAAACAGTAATAAATCACGTGATCTTTTGTAACACTCCATACTACAACAACAGAAGTTATTTCAGGAGCACCTGAAGCATTTAACAAGCTAGACAAATTCTGTGCCATTAAAAAAAAACAAACAATGAATTTAAACAGATTCAGATCATGCAAAATATGTACTTTAAACATATCAATAAATGTTTCTCCATCTGTTTGTGCCCTCCCTTATATCGTTGCAGTGGTTTGCAGTTCTCCTTGAAGAGGTCCTTTACTTTCCTTGTTAGTTGTATTCCTAGGTATTTTATTCTCTTTGTAGCAATTGTTAATGGAGTTCACTCTTGATTTGGCTCTCTTTAAGTCTGTTATTGGTGTATTAGAATGCTTGTGATTTTTGCACATTGATTTTGTGTCCTGAGACTTAGGCAGGTGTTGAACAATAAGAACATGTGGACACAGGGAGAGGAGCACTACACACTGGGGTCTGTTGGGGGGAATAGGGGAGGGACAGCTCGGGGTGGGGAGTTGGTGAGAGATACCATGGGGAGAAATGCCAGATATAGGTGAAGGGGAGGAAGGCAGCAAATCACACTGCCACGTGTGTACCTATGCAACTATCTTGCATGTTCTTCACATGTACCCCAAAACCTAAAATGCAATAAAAAAATCATTATATTTGTTGCCCATAATAGTAAGACATCAAAAAATAAAATGCCCACATGTTTGGAATACATACAACATGCTTTAAAAGAATCCATGAATCAAATAAAATCATTGAGAACTTAGAATATCTTTGAACCAATTGAAAATAAAAGCAAACACAAGGCAAAATTTGTGGCACATATTTAAAATAGTGCTTTGGAGGAAATTTATATTGTTGGTCTTTTACATAGGAAATGTAAGAGAGTTTAAATCAATTACTTAAGATTCTATGCAAAAAAGTTATAGAAATCTTCAAATTCAATCCGGTGTAAAAATAAATATAAATTATACATTTTAAAAATAAAAACAAAATCAGTGAGATAAAAAAGCTATCTCTTCAGGATCAATAAAATTACTAAACCTGTAGTCAGACACCAATTACCATTATCTGAAATGAGAGCAAAAACATCACCACAGATCCTACAGGCAATCAAAAATACTGAGAAAATACTATGAAAATGCTAATATCAGTAAATTTGATAAATAAAATGAAAAAAATCCTCAAAGGCCAAAACTAGCAAGGCTTACTGAAAAGGAACTATTAATATGAATAATCTTCTCTTATTAAAGAAATTGAATTTTTAGTTTAAAACTTGTAAATTCCAAATCCAGATAGCTTTGCTGATGAATTTTATCAAATAGTAAAGGAGGAAATAACACCAACGTTCCACAGAATCACCCGTATACTTGAAAAGCAGTAAATACTTCCAAACTCTTTACCCTCATTGATGGGGAAAAATTGATGTCTAGCTTCTCATTTACTGTCTCTAAACCACAGATTTTTCTAAGAAACAAAGTATACAAAGCCAAATTAATAAGTGCATTTTAATTGTCCTTGCAGTCATTTTCTAGTTATAATTTTTGTTTGCTGGATGCTGAAATGATAAATCAAGATTCAGCTTGTTATTTGGATGCTTTAGATAGTTTTCTAAGAATTAAATAAAATGCCCACATGTTTGGAATACATACAACATGCTTTAAAAGAATCCATGAATCAAATAAAATCATTGAGAACTTAGAATATCTTTGAACCAATTGAAAATAAAAGCAAACACAAGGCATAAAATAAACTTGCTTATAAGAGAAAAATAGATTTTTAAAAATGTAATGTGTTTGTTTTGACCTGAGTCTTAAAAGCAGAAAACTAGAAGTAGATATGGCTAAAATTGGCAACTGGGTGCTACCAAACATATTGTAAATTTCTGTTTTTCTGGCTTTTTTTTTTTTTTCCCACTACAGTAATTCAACTCTCTTCCCAGAAAGCTAAGATGTGGAATAGTCATATTGTCAAGGCTTCACCAGCAAAAGGTCTAGAGTAAAATGTACTTTATAATCATCTGTTACCCCCGAACGCATTGTAGGTGTCAAACTTTTGGAAAAAAGGAGCCCAAGTGCGCAGAAGCTCAGGCTCCCACATGCCTCCTCCAGAGCAGATGGCTATGGGTGGGGGCGCGGGGCTGTAGGCTCCACCTGCCTTGGGATCCCTGGAGCTGAGTCACAACAGCGCCCCGCAGACCCCACCGCCCTTCAGCTCTGCTCCGCCTCCACCACCCTGGCCGCGAGCTGCAGCCGTTCCAAGGGCAACAGCCATCCCTGTTGCTGGTTCGCCGGCCACGCAATGCTGTCTCTATTGCTGATCCTCTCAGGCCTGAGCCTGCTGACATCCGAGGGCCCGAGTAAGTGACCCTTAGGAGAGGAGGCCGAGTTTCGGCTTTGGCCTTTCGCAGGGCCCAGAAGCTCAGGCCAGGCTGGGGATGGGGACCTCAGAGCTGCCCACAAGTGTGGGATCCCGGGCCTCGGCGGGAAGGGGGATGCTGGATAGGGTCTGGGACCGGCAGCCCACACTTCTCCCATGCTGGGCTGAGGTCACCAAGACCTGAAGGGCCAGGGTAAACTTCCCACACCTGGAGGAACCTCTTCCTGGAACTGGACTGTGTGGGGGGGGTGTGTGTGTCTGTGTGTGTGTTTGTGTGTCTGTGTGTGTGTCTTCATGGGATGGAAGTTTAAAGGGTGATGAGAGGACAATGAAGAAAGGACGCTGTGGCATGATACACTGGGAGTGCTCACATACGCTTTTCCTCATGCAGATTCCGAAACAACAGTTCTGCAAATTACAGTACCACGGAAGATCCAGACAAACATCAATGATGGCGATGTTTCAGAAACGCAAGTAATTAAGAGATCACATTTTTAAAATTATGATGTTTTGTTTTTTTCTGGACTACATGGCCCCAATCAATTCATACACATCCCTTTGTAAAATTGTCCTTGTGTTCTAATTTACCGTGTTAAAGAGTCTTTTTGTCTAAATGACATTCTTACCATTCTCAGTCTTCATAAAACTGAAGAAAGTTAGGGCCTTTCTGCAGATGAAACTTTGGCTTAAGGGAATGTTATGGTGGGTTTGATTGTCTATCCAGACTGATGAAACTTTCTCCATATTGGCAATACGTTGTTTGCTTTTATGTTATGGGGTCCATTGATTTTTATTCTTGAGTAATGTTTTTAAAATACTCATACTACCTAAAGCAATAGGCAGATTCAGTGCAATCCCAATCAAAATTCCAATGGCATTCTTCACAGACATAGAAAATACAACGCTAAATTTTGTATGGAACCACAAAATAACCTTGAGTAGCCAAATAGCTACTGAGGAAAAAACTTAGAGGCATCATACTTCCTGATTTAAAATTGTATTTAAAAAACATAAAATTCAAAACAGTATGGTACTGTCATTAAAAAAAAAAACAATAACAACGACAACAAAACAGACATGTAGACTAATGGAACAGAACAGAGAGCCCAGAAATGAATCCAAACATATACAGTCAACAAATTTTCAACAAGTTCACCGAAAGAACACAATGGGGAGGAGAGTCTTTCATTTCTGTCAGGTTTTGCTTCTTACATTTTCCAACTGTGTCGTTTGGGGCATACCCACTTAGGATTGTTACGTCTTGCTAGATTGATACCCTTTATCATTATATAATGTCCTTCTCATTCTCTGATACTAATGCAACAACTTCTACTTCCCTTCGATTTATGTTTGCACGATATGCATTTTGCAAATGCCATTAATTCCTTTCTTTTTATGGCTGAGTAGTATTCCATCAAGTATGTATACCACAGTTTCCTTTCATTTTTATTTTAAAAAGTCACCCCCACACATTAAATTGGTCACACTGTCCCGGAATTTATTCAGGTACTAAATTCTTACTATTTAGAATAATAAATTCTAAAGATTATGTTCATTTTTAACAAACAGAGTGACTCATTTTGATTAACTTGGATGAATTTTGTTTTATTTTATATATTTCTGATTTCCTTAATAATCTTTACTGTTTATTTTATTTTATTTCATTTTAGATTATTTACATCATTACAATTGATGGACAACCATATACTCTACATCTCAGAAAGAAGTAAGAGATGGTTTTTTTTTTTTTTTTCATTAAGGAAAAGGGAAAGCTTTAAGCTTAGATTTTACAGCCTTAAGGTTTTTGTGCAGTATTTAAATTCAGGAATGCCATATGATGTAGACTTGTTTTATCAATCGACTTCCCAATTTAGGATTCATTATGTCTTGAATATCAAATCTAGAGGACTATTTCATTTTAATTTTTAGCTTGGTATTTTCAAATTATGAAATAAACTACATACTTGTAAAATCTACAATTGAGCATAAGCCATTGAACCCAAAAAGTGCAAGTTGTATATTAAGTATATCTGGTGAAATCAAATACAGTTACACATCAAATAATTATTGGTGAAAAATTCAACTAGTGACATAATTTTTATTATGTGTTGATTATACATGTATCTATTTTTAACAAGTTTACTGAACCTACTTTACAAATAAAATTCTCTAAATTATAAAATTCAACAATTTTAATGACTTTATACAATGTTGCCACCATCACACATAAATCACTTTTAGAACATTCTTTCCCCACATAAGACCCCTCATGTTTTTTCAGTTAGTCTCTGTTCTCACTCACAACTCAAAGCAACAATCTGCTCTTGTATCCTGATTTGTATTTTCTCAATATTTTATAAAGATTAAATTAAGTAGCCTCTTCTATATATCTTCAAACATATATATTTACAGCAACTGTCCCTTGTCTTCCTGCTTCTTTGTAACTGACCAAGGCTGGAGGAAATTATTCTCATTTAATTTGTGACTACCCCACTTAATTCATGTTTACCTTTCATGCCACTACAACTCCACAGAAGTGTTTTCTGATAGATTCATCAGTGGTCCTCATATTCTTGAATGTCCTGTTTGTGTTTTATTTAGTCTTAATCTCTACTTCTCAATCTTTTTATTTTTGGCAGATTCTTTCTTATCTCTTGAATTTTAGAGTACTCCTTGGTACTGTTTCTGCATTTTTTTTTTTTTTTAGCTATATTCAGTCACCTGGTTGTTTAATTCTTGTGACTTTAAATATCATCCACATATCGGTTGTTCCCAAATTAATATCTCTACCTTGTTCTTCTTCAATAAATGCCATATTCACTTATCTGAGTACTTAGTTGATAACCAAGTATATACTAGAATCCTCATAGGTAACATGCCCAGATGGAATTCTGACTTTCTTCTCAAATTTGTCTTTCTCACAATAACTTCAGGAATTGGCAAATATATCAGTTTTTCAGGAAAAAAAAAACATTTAAAAAGTTAGAGTCATACTTGATATCTTTCTTTCTTTTGTTTTCCCCTACAGTGGATTATAAATCCATGTATTCAAAATATATTTATATCTACATCTAAACCCAACAAAATATATCCAGAATTAGACCTCCCTGACTGATGCTATTTTAGTTCAAAGCACCATCACTTCTTACATCTAAGTGGTCTCCCTGTTTCTTCTGCTTATTTGTCCTGCAGATTGTTCTTAACATAGCACTATCTGATTTTACTAAAACATTTGGTCTGACGCTGTCTTTATCTGCCCAAACACTCCAGTGCTTCTCATCTCTGTGACACCATCTCTTACCCTAGTCTCTCTTCATCACTCCGCACTCAGTCATATTGCTCCCTAGTTGTTCCTTGTTTATATAAAGCATATTTCTGCTTGAGGGTCCTTGCATTTTCTATTAACTCTGTCTAGAATAACACTTCTGTGAAAATCCATGTGATTTATTCCTCAGGTATTTAATCATCTATTCACAGAGCTTTTCCATGCAATCCTATCTATATTTTGTAACCACCCTCCCTAGGCCTTGTCTATTGTCATCTAATTGCTTGCACTATATGCCCCTGGCTGTCACAAAGACTAAGGCTTTTTGTTTCTTGTTTGTTGCTGAATCTCAGCACCTACATGAGGGTCTGTCAGATAGTGAACACTCAGTACATTTACTGAACGTCATCACACACAGCCATACACACAAATATCTGATGCAGGGGAATCTCAGAGACTTCCCCAATGCTAAGGAAGTCTAAACTCCTTGATTCACCAGTTGTATGAATTTCAACTGTTATGCCTCATAAAATCACTCTAATTAAATCATGCCATTATATAAAGCTAATTAAATCATGTTATAGAAAATGTATGTGATACTTGTTTTTTAACATTTATATTAAAATTATGACTCAAACTTTTTTATTATTTCTTGGTTTTTTTAGCTCATTCTTACCCCAGAACTTCTTGGTTTTTACATATAGTGAAACTGGATCTTTGCATGCTGAGTCTCCATATTTTATGGTAAACTAAGATAAGATACCTTATGTTTTTTGTTGAAGTGGATATATTATTACCATTAGAATGCTTTTCATGTTGACATTTTAATACAAATGTTTTATCTTTACTGACATGTTACTGACTTTTGTACTTAGAAATGGCAAGTGATAGAGATGAAACCCAGGTATAAGAGAACACTCACAGAGACCTAGGTGGTGCAAAGAGAATTGTCAAATATCTTTTTTTTTGAAAATATGCATTAATAATTCTGTATGATTCATGATCTTATTATTAAATATTTTAGTATTTTGTATCTTCTGAAATGTTCAACAATACATATTTTATTCAACACAACTTTATATACTTGCCTTTCTGTAACGTTTTGCAGATGCATTGCTATTACCAAGGATATGCTGCCGAATTTCCAAATTCATTTGTGACCCTCAGTATATGTTCTGGTCTCAGGTAATAGCACCTTATAAGAAATCTATAGATGGAGGATTTAAGATAACACTTTTAAACAAAACTCAGTGACTAACACATGCAAATTGTGGAAGTTTAAGGGAAATCAAAGCTGAAAGTTTTCTTTATAACAGCTTTATTTTATTTATATTAATGTTAATACTTGGATTTAAGGGCCTATTCCCATGAAATCAACCCAGGGATATCATGAAAAATGGGATTCATGAAAGAAAACTTTAAAACAACTCCTTCAGTGTAATTATTGCATTCTGCATCTGTTTTCTCAAATAGTTATGGAAAATGGCACTAATTAGTTATATAATTATAATAGGAAAATACAGTATGTTTTCAGCTTAGTGCCAGATATAAAACAACTAATTAAGAAGATCCCTCAGGAATAAAGAATGAGGGTGAATTATTTTTGTTACTGATGCTGGGATACTCATTTATGATAAGTTTATCAGGAAAAGAAGGATCCAGAGCAGAGAAAAAAATGCTCCCTCTAACTTCCCTTTGGTTTCAATTGGCTGATTTCTGAAATTTATTCACATCAACTCAGAAAATTGGCATTTTCTGAATGTGGTTTTTATAGAGAACAACCTCTTTAGCTGTATAGTCTACTTATGTCCTTTCCCTTATGTAACCTCTGCAAGAACAGTAATGTTATTCCTGGAATTCTCAACAATTATATTGGTTTGAGGTAAATTTGGCTTTAATTCATGTGATTGTCTTACAAAAATATTCTTAATTGCATTTAGATCTTTAAAATGTAAGCAAAACTAAGCCAGATATGGTGGCTTTCACTAATGATAAACTGTCCCCTCCAAAAAAGTGGAAAAAGAAAATGGGCTTTAAATGTGTTCTTTAGTATAGTTTCTTACTTCTTATGCCATTTCAGATTATCATTTTGATGGGATCATTTTTGGGATTTTTATAATTATTCCCTTATTGCCTTCTAAATTTTCAGGGGATTGCTTCAGTTTGAAAATACTAGTTATGGAATTGAACCATTGGAATTTTCAGCAAGATTTGAACATATAATTTATCAAATGAAAAATAATGATCCAAATGTATCAAGTTTAGCAGAAAATTACAGCCATATTTGGCAGAAAGACCAGCCCTACAAAGTTCATTTAAGCTCACAGGTGACTGTCATCTTTCTGATGTTATGACATACTAGAAAATTGCCTCTGTAGTTTTCTAGTTTTCTTTTAAATCATGAAAGGAATATAGTTAGCTATTGAGCACAAATACTACATTTTATATATTTTTCTATCTTTAAATAAAACCTTGAAACTTCATCTAAAATATTTGGAAAGTTATATATTTCAAGCTTAGTATTTTATTGTATATTATGTAACATAATGTTTATATTTTTAAAAACAAAATGGATACTATTAAAAAAGTTTATAAATGCAGAAAGAACAGAGTCGCCACTATTCTAGTACCTTGGTAACATTACTTTTAATATTTTGATATATATCTTACACCCTACTTGAACATATCTTTCTAAAATACGCAGCCATTTGCATATTGCTCAGTGCTCTTAATTTGCTGGTAGACTAGATGTAGAATTCTTGCTTGACAGTTTCTTTCTTTCAGCACTTTGAATATTTCAATCCATCACCATGTGGCCTCTGTTTTATTTCCGATAAAAATAGTCTATTACTCTTACTGAGAATTCCTTACACAAAATGAGTTGCTTCTCTTTTTTCTTTTGAGATTCTTTCTTTGCCTTTGTCTTATGGCAGTGTGCTTATCATGCGTCTATGAATGGATCTCTTTGTGTTTACTGTACTTGGAGCTCAAAGTACTTCTTAGGTCTGTAAATTGATGTGTTTTGAAATTAAATTAGCTTGTGTGAATCCTGGGAAAAAAAAATCCCGAGGAGCTATGAAACCATCTATCTGTATGGTCCCCAGAGATGTTACACTTATATGCTACTTTAAAATCTGTCTCTATTTTGTAGTTCATTACTGCTGAAAGTATATACTGGGATAAAGAAAGTATTCCTCTCAGGTTTCTGGCTTCAGATAAGAGATATGGAAAGCTGGAAACAGCATTGCTTCCACATGTACAGCAGAGTAAAGGTTGGACAAAGTGCACATCAATGATTTTTATGGAAAACACCAAAAAGCTGAGATTGCAGATTAAACCATTAACCAACATGTGGAGAAAAAAAGTGTCTATAGGTTGTGATGGGAACCAAATGTATAAAAAATAGAGTTTTTCTTTTTCCTTTTTTTGTGACTACAATTAATTTGGTATCAGTTCAAAATAACCTGCTTTAAGACGTTCTTTGTAAGCTTTGATAACCACAAAGCAAAAATTTTTAACAGACACAATAAAAGCAGAAAACAAAAAATCAAAACCTACTTTGATAGAGAAAAAAATCACTTAACCACAAAGGAAGATAGCAAGAAATGAAAAAAATGAAGAAGTTTATAGAAAACAACTAGAAAACAAATAACAATATGGTAATACCAACTTCTTACTCATATAGAATTACCTTGAATGTAAATGAATTATATTCTCCAACTAAAAGAAATAACATGGCTTAATTAGTGAAAAGAAAATGAGAGGGAGGGGAGCAAAGACGGCCAAATAGACAGAGTCAGGAAGGTTATCTCCCACCAGAAAACCAGACAAAGAAGACCAACACAGTCTTCTTCCAACCAAAGAAGAGCACATCTTTGGAAGGAAGGATGGAGGGAGGATACAGACCCTGTGCTGATTGGGGAGGAAGCCAGGAATCTTTTACAAGGCTGTTGAGCACCAGCACTCATTCCTGGCTCCCAGCACCTCCTGGGGAAGGGGTGAGTTAAATATTAGAGGTGTGGTCCACTGTCACTAGAAACTTCCAGAATTCTAGCTGCAGGAGACCCCATGACCCCCACAGACACTTTGATCTGGGAGGGAGAGCTGCTTGAAGAAGTGGCAGGCACAGGCCTCCAGCCTGTGCAGAGTCCAGGGCATTTGGTTAAGGAACACCTGGAGCATAGCCAGGAGCACTCCTACCCCAAGGCTCCCCACACTCCTCTAGGTGGCTTTTGTTTTTGTTGATGGTTGGACCTGGACAAAACAGGGCTGCCTTGCCTGTGGGACAAGGCCATTCTGATCTGTGGACCCCACTGTCAGACATACTCTTCTGGGGTCCCTCCTTGGCCACATTCATTTGCAGCACTACCTCAGATACTCAACCGGGATGTTTCCCTGTTGTTGCTGCCATAGCTCCTTCACTAGCAGACCCTACCTAATCATTGGAGAGCTTTAGCAGATGGGCCCTTGCCAACACACATGTGCCAGTAGCCTCCTCCCGCCACTTTGTTGGTGCACACTCACTCATGGCTTCCCCCATTATTTTTCTGGTATGTGTGCATGAAACTTGTTGCAGCCTCACCCCTGCCAGTGCATGTGCACATGCAGACCCCATAGAGCTACCACTGCTGGAACACACCTGGATGTGTGGACTCCACCGTGTCTCCCTGTTGCTGCTGCCAGGCATGCATGCGTGGAACCCAACAGGCCACTACCACCACCGCATGTACACACATGCATGCAGACCTTGCTACACCACCAGCCAGCTGCTGCTGGTCTGCATGCAGGAGTGCAGACCCTGCTGCCATCACCCAGACAAAGCACTTTCAACAGCATCCCCAAATGGAATGTTGTTGCCAGTATATCGGGAATACCTTGGCCCCTCAAGCACAGCCATTGTTTAACCTTGAAGGTCCAGAAAACAAAGCCATGGGCCTGGTTTCAACCCCCCAGGGTTAGAGCCTGCAGCCAGGAATACTAAGCTGAGCATGAGCCCCCTAAAAATCATCCAGAAACAAAGTCAGTTGACTGAACCCAACTTACAAACATGGTCACCCTCAAGGCATCAAAGAATGTAAAAGCAAAAAGCCTCACCCAAAGGACAAAAACTTTAATGAACATCTGCCCACGCAGATGAGGAAGAGCTAGCACAAGAACTCTGTCAACTCAGAAAGCCAGAATGTCTTCCTGCCTATCTCTGGCAATGGTTCTTAACCAAGCTGAAATGGCTGAAATTACATACTTAGAATTCAGAATCTAGATGGCAATGAAGATCATTGAGATTTAAGGGAAAGTTGAAACCCCATCCAAGGAATATAAATAATCCAATTAAACAATGAAAAGATGAAAGAGGATATAGCCATTTAAAGAAAGAATGAAACTGATATAACAGAGCTGAAAAAAAACACTAGAAGAATTTCATAGTACAGCCAGAAGTATTAACAACAGAATAGACAAAAGCAAAAAAAGAACTTCAGAGCTCCATGACTGGTTCTTAAAATCAATTCAGTCAGACAAAAACAAAGAAAAAAATACAAAAGAATGAGCAAAACCTGTGAGAAATATGGGATTATGTAAAGAGGTCAAACCTGTGATTAATTGTCATCCCTGAAATGGAGTGAAAAAGAGAGAGCAAGCAACTTGGAAAACACATTTGAGGATATTTGTTACAAAAAATGTCCAAACTTTACTAGAGGGGTTCTTATTCAAATTTAGGAAATTCAGAGTACTCTAGGAAAATGCTATGCAAGACAACCATCCTTAAGACACATAGAGATCAGATCCCCAAACTCATTGTGAAAGAAAAAATATTGCAAAGAGGGCCGGGCGCGGTGGCTCAAGCCTGTAATCCCAGCACTTTGGGAGTCCGAGACAGGTGGATCACGAGGTCAAGAGATCGAGACCATCCTGGTCAACATGGTGAAACCCCGTCTCTACTAAAAATACAAAAAATTAGCTGGGCATGGTGGCACGTGCCTGTAATCCCAGCTACTCGGGATGCTGAGGCAGGAGAATTGCCCGAACCTAGGAGGCGGAGGTTGCAGTGAGCCGAGATCCTACCATTGCACTCCAGCCTGGGTAACAAGAGCGAAACTCCGTCTCAAAAAAAAAAAAAAAAAAATATTGCAAAGAGAGACAAGGGGCAAGCTTCCTACAAAGAGCCTCGTTAAGTGAGGAGTAGATCTCTCAGCAAAACCCTACAAGCCAGAAGAGATTGAGAGCCTCCATTCAGCATTCTTAAAGAAAAGAAATTTCAACCAAGAATTAGATATCCATCGAAATTAAACTTTATAAGCAAAGAAGAAATAAAATCCTCTTCAGACAAGCTAATGCAGAGGGAATTTGTTCCACCAGACCTGCCTTACAAGAGGCCCTTAGGGGAATGCTAAACATGGAAACAAAAGACCATACAGTCCACCACACGAATGCATGTAAGTAGGTAGACAATTGACACTGGAGAGAAACTACACAATCAGATCTGCTTAGGGGCCAGCTAACAACACAATGACAGCATCAAATCTGCACATAACAACATTAACTTTGAATGTAAAGGGGAAAACACCCCACATAAAAGGACATAGCATGACGATTGGATGAAAAAGCAAGAGCCAACAGTATAATTTCTTCAAGGGACCCATTTCACATGCAAAGACACCCATACTCTCAAAGCAAGAGATGGAGAAAAATCTACCAAGCAACCTGAAAACACAAAACCCAGGAGTTGCTATTCTAATTTCAGATGTAATAAACTATAAACCAACAACAATCAAAATGGACAAAAAGTACTGCATAATGATAAAGGGTTCAATTCAACAAGAAGACTTAATTGGAGGGGACTCAAGATGGCGCTGTGAGAACAACCCAGGATTGGAGCCCGCGTTGAATCCGCAAACGGTGAGTCAGTGCTGCATTTCCAGACTGATCTTTGTTGCCCACAGAACGGGGAAACTCCCAAGTATAAAAAGACACGGGACGCCAGGCAGTAGGTCTGCCTGGCGAAGCCGGCAGCCGGGGCGGCGGCGGCCGGCCCTACCCAGCAATCCCCACAGGGTGTGCTTTCCGGGTGCCTTGTTGAACCAGCAACCTGAGACTTGAGAGGGCTGGACTTGAGACTGAAGGAGACTTGCACAGTAGCCCAGCCCAGGGGATTGCAGGGACAGATCGTTTGGGATACCCAGTGGGACGAACAAAACCTCGATCAAACTATCCCGGGCAGACGGTCCGAGACGCTCTGTGGGGGAGGGGCGTCCACCACTACGGAGGCAACCTGCCCCAACTGATATACACGCCCACTGCTGACGCAGCCAGCCGTTGCCGAGGCAACCCG